CCAGAAACAGGTGCAAACACAGGCCAGGAGCGGGGCCGAAGCCAAGAGCCGGCAGGCTGAGAAAGCAGGCAGGGGACCAGGGTGGGGAGGAAATCGCCCTGGAAGCGAGGGGACAGCTCCCGACTCGCCTGAGACCCCAAGCCCTGCGGCGCATGGGGGCAGCCCCTTCTCCTCCAGCCCACCCCGCTGGGCCTCAGGCGGCTCCGACACGGAGGGTTTGTCTGTCTCGTGCGTGTGTTTTGCCTCACTAAATATTAGCCTTCCTGAAACTTCTTATTAGAAGAAAATTTCCATTACAATATCGAAAATGAGGAATTCTCTCTCTTCTATCTCTCTGTCCCCCCCACTCCACCACCTACTTCCCGGGAGCCTCCCCCTCATCCCCCACTCCCCTCGGTTCTGACAGCCTGACCCCCTGCATCCTCAGGATCCTCAACAGCCACTCAACAGCCGTACCCGGCGAGGGGTTTCAGGGCTCCCTCCCTTGATTCTCTCCACTTTTCAACCCTGCCAAATGCCCGCCCCAAGAAGCTGGAGAGGCCTTGGCCTCTGCAGCACGGCACCCGCCTCGTCTCTCCTACCTCTCTAGGTGCCTCCATTCTCTGACATGGAGTGTCCCCGGTGGTCTGTCCCCAGCCCTCCTCTCCTCCCCTCCTTCTCTCACGCCTGTGCCCACCTCTGCTGTGTGCATGTACCGCTCAGAACTCTTCTGCCCAGCCTGCTCCTTACGCTTCCAAACCCGAGAGGTGAGGAAACCTGCTGCCGGACACGCTGACCCAGGAGTGCCTGCCTGGGGGCAGGTTGTGCCCACTGTGGGCTGTGCTGGTCATGTGTTGTGGTGCTTGAAGCACAGACTCCAAGACTAAACAACAGCTTGCCATTTTGTTTTTGCTCCTTGGCTCGATTGTGTGTCCTACCCGTTCACAGCTTCTCTCACACCCATCAGGGCTGCCAGTTAGAGCCAGGAGTTCCGCTGGACCACCACATTCTCCCAGGGCAAATCATCTAAGACACATTAAAAGTCCCATATACCAAACGTACCTAGAACAAAATGCAGGCACTTTACTAAATAACATAGAATGTTATGTTTGGCTAGACCAGAAACCATTTTCAAATGCATTCACTATACTTTCACATTTTCAATGCATTTTTTATTTAATTACTGTGGTTAGCTGAAACTTTTCAAGTCCATTTTCTTCTGCTTCTCAATTTTCTCTTGTCAGATTTGTAAATCTTGTTTAATCTTTAAAAGGCTTTTGGGTAAATATTTATATGTTTGTGCATGAATGTACAAAACCTTACTCTTTGGTATAAAATAATACGGATGTGAACATACATAAAGGACTTTTTTTAGCCACATATTTTTAACTGTGCAAATCAAATTTGCTTTCTCTAACAGTAATGGAAAGGCTAAAATAAGTTGGCTTCTTCCAGCCACGCTACAAATCCACCCTGTCTGAAACTGAATTCTTTATTTGCACTTATGCCCAACCTGACCATCCCACACCCAAAAAAAAATAGCTTGAAACTGTTTCTTTCTCTTCCTCACTTCTCAGTTTCTGCCATTTCCCACCATTTCCCCAGCTACCCAAGCTTTAATGGCAATGTAGCCCCCCTCACATAGCTCTCCTTCCATGTGCACCACAATAACCCGAGTAGGTCGTGAGGCCCTTCACACTTTCCACCAGGAGGTCCCTCAGCACACAGACGTGCCCTTCACATATCCCTGCAGCCTACAGGGTCAGGAAATGATTCTCCTGGCAACAGAACTCCTTGAAGACCCACGTGTGCCATACAACCCGAGTCCTCTCAGGAAGTATCTTGTCCCATGCTGTGGTGTAAGAGATGCAAATAAAAGGGTAATATGCTCTGAATCCAGGCAAGGGGACCACACCTGACATCTCACCAGAGGAAACACCTAGATTCATGCATTGCAAAGAAAGCTATAACCCACTGAATCAGAGTGACCTGATGGCGTCAGGACGCCGACTGACACAGGAATCCTCTGGGACTGCGCCAGCCATCTTCACCTGCCACCGTTCAAGGAATCAAACTATGACAGTCCAGGGGACCAGGTCTTGCTCTGCGCTGGACACAGTTCTCTGGAGTGAAACGACAGATGGATGCAATATTCTGTGGGGACACTTGGTCCCCTTTGCCTAAAGCTGCTCTGACCCCAAACTTCTTTGAGGTTTAAAAACAAAAAGTAATTATCTCTGGGACCAGACAGACCTGGGTTCATCTCTAGTCTCTCATCTTTACCAGCAGGAACTACTGGGCAAATTCCTTAACATCATCTGCCGTTACTCTCAGCAGTGGCGGTGATCATAACAGTAGCTACTCAAATGTACTGAGTTTTTACCGTGGAGCCAGTAAGAAGCCTGAGTCCTCCCCTCCGTAGCACTGAGACAAAAACATCGACCTCAGAGTATCATGCAACACCATGAGCTTACACGACAATCGCTCCGCACACAGCCTATGCCTGCTGGGTAATCCTTGTTTTTTGAAGTCCTCATTATCTACACAGAATGTATCCTGTAGAGCTATATAAGCTCATCTCTTGAGCAGCAAATTAATACAGTGCTTGGATCTCTGCATAGCCAAAGGTCATTATGATCCTTCGAGAGAAAGTGGTGGAGGAAGAAAATTCATTGCAGGGGCTTAAGGCAGGACAACCTGAATGCAAGAAGAAATAAGGATCTTATTTAAGATCCCTTCTAAAAAGTCATGAATTGCTGTCATTGGAAAGGGGGAAAGTCAAGTCAAGAATTGTCTTTGTTTTTTCACACACAGAATAAACGTGATACGAATGTGGGAAGAGAGGATTAACCCCCATACAGGAGAGAGAGTATGGATTCTGGAAAAGCAGCTCATCATTGCGAGAACAGTGTCCCAGGAGGGGTCAAAGGGAACGGCCCTGGAGTTTTTCAGTCTGTGGGTTCCAAACCAGTATTTTGGGAATGGAATGAGATTGAATGGAATGGAAGGGCAATGACTGAAGTGTGCCACATTTTAGGAGACTAGTTCTTGCTTTCGTGTGCATGTACTGTGTCACCATTTAAAGTGTATTTTTACTGTGAATCATGGGCATATGTTTAAAATAGTGGACACCAACAGAGAGGTTAAACTGAAGGCATCTCCAACAGCCTCACCGTGCTGCAAACAGCGATGGGGACGCCTGCCCTGGCCTTCTCCTTGTTCAGGGAACCCTACCCATCTCTCCTTTTCCTCCTCCCTCAGTAGCCATTTATTGAGTGATGTGAGTACTACTTACCATTCGGTTTTCCAGGCACTGGGCATAAAGCCGGCTTAGACCCAGTCCTGGCCTCTCGGTGCTTAGCATCTAGTAGGAATGACCTCTGGGTGCCCGAGGCCTTGCTGGCACAGCCCAGGGCTCACTCGCCTAGGTCTTGCTTTGTGACTCAGGCCCTGGCCAAGTCCGGTCCTCACCCTCCATTTTCCAGCCACTGCTGCCTCTCGGGTCTGGATAATCAGAACGGCCCCTCTATCCCTCACAAACACAGCCTTGGCCCAAGTGACTGGGGCCCGGTCTGGCCCCGGCCTCAGCTCGCACCGCATGCCCCGCTGCAGCGGGCCAGCCGAGGGTGTGCCCTCCCCATGCCCAAGGGCGCTGGGTCTCCAGGCGCAAGAAGGTAAGCCTCCCAGGCCAACCTCGCTGACGGCAGGACGCTGAGGCTGCTGGGAGGTGCTCTCTGCTGGGACTGGCACGGACAGTGCGGCCGTGCACACTGCGTGGACAACTTAGCCCACGGGGCTGGGATATGGCACCAGGCCACCTCCCCGCTCAGGGTCTTCTCTGTCCCATTTCCTTCCGTTCCGCAGGCAGCCCTCCTGGCCGTGGGTGTGACTTCAGTCACTCAGACCTGCCGTCTCCAACGGGGCTTCTTGCACTGAGCTCATCACAAGCAAGTGAGCTCTCTCCACAAATGTGTGAAGAGGAGAAAGCTGCAGTCTTCCTGCTTAACATCCCTGACTGGGCAGAGGGCTGCGGGCAGAGAATCGAGGAGACAGCTGCCCCCGAGCCCTGCCCTGTAGGTGAGGCTCGGGAGGGGAAGGAACTCGGCCTGCGAGGCATTCCGAGGGCCCCGGGTGCCCGAGGCGGGGAGGGCTCAGGGCCTGGTGTCCGGTCCTGCTTCATCCAGAACAGCACGTACCTGCCTCGCATGTTGGCTGCTGCACGAGGTTTTGCTTGACAAGAGGGTTTCATTGCTTCAGTAGCAGAGAAACAAGCAAAAACATCCCATATTACGCATTGATTTTTACGACATGAAATTAGACCTCATTTTTTTGCATCAGGAGAAAAAAAATACTGTAAGCAGATGCTAAGCTCTAGTTAATAATATATATGCCAAAGTTTACTCCTGTCTGCAATTCCCTTGAAACATATCAAAAAAAAAAAAAAGATGGATGGCTTGGAAGGGAGATTCGCAATAAAGCCAGTACAGAAAAACAGCAACAGTAGAATCTAGGTGGTAGGCTGATGGATATTCCCAGCAAGTTCTTTCAACATTTCTCATATGAAACTTTTCATAATCAAATGCGTGGGGAAAATTGGCACCAAATGCACATGCTCTGATCAGTGTTTCCTTACCTCTTAAAAGCTGTTAAAAAAAAACAAAAAGGAAATTATTCCTGTACCACCTTCCTCCATGGCCAATCTTGTTATCATGCCGATAAAATGGAGGTAACTAACGTGATAACTTTGAAAGGAAAATGCAACCTCAAATATTTTTCTTGGTCAATCATTTACTCATTAACTTTTTATTCCATAGCTACTGGGACTTCTAAAAACTGCTGAGCTGAATGGATGTACCACCTTCCTCCATGGCCAATCTTGTTATCGTGCCGATAAAATGGAGGTAACTAACGTGATAACTTTGAAAGGAAAATGCAACCTCAAATATTTTTCTTGGTCAATCATTTACTCATTAACTTTTTATTCCATAGCTACCGGGACTTCTAAAAACTGCTGAGCTGAATGGTGGCACCTCACGTTTCTCTAGTGCAATAGTCTGGTGTAAGTAAATAAGTCAAGTTCCTTCGTGGATCGGGAAGTACTGCTTCAAGATGTCACACGGCCGGAGCTGGAAACAGAACTCGCACCTCATTGTTCCTGGGTCGGGGATGCGGACAAGGGTCGAGGAGAGAAGGTCCACTGCACGCCTGTGACGGCCTCCAATGGACAGGAACTGGGTGGTGAGATGCAGACCTGCCCGTTGTGGGATGGCGGGCATGGTGGCAAACCACTGCACGCTTCCTTCGTGCCGTGAAGTATGACTGGATCCCTTATGGATGAACATTGGGCAGTGAATGACTTACTATTTTTATCAGCCCCCTTATTTCACAATAAATTCTGGAAACGTATTTAAGTCCAAAAACGGTGGTGCATGGGAATTTAGAATTCTGCAACGTGCCCACAATGAACCCCTACAGAATGAATCACAGAAATGTAATGGACCTCAGTTCCTCCTGTGAAAAAACTGGGAGAAGCCAGAAGACATGGGTTTACTTGAATTTTATACGTAAAATGGGTTTTTTGTGATGATCTAAATCCTGCAGTTAACTACCTGCAACTTCAGAGAACTTTAGGCTAGCATAATTTAAACTTCAAAATTTGAAATAGAAACCAGGCACCTGTCCAAAATGATGATGGTCAAACTGAAACATTTCTATGCTTGTCAAAATGCCAGAGAATCAAAGAAACTAAGGCTCTCAGTCTATCCAACAAGCAAGAGGTGAACCAGAAATCAACCCCGTATTTATTTGGGTACAATAACATAAGAGATGTGACTGCACTTTGAGACAGTTCCTAACAACATATTCATTTAAGCTTTTCCTTTTTAATTAACAAATGGCTGTGCCTGGGTTGAGAATTCTGTCTGCACTTTGTTCTCAGATTGTTTGGGGCGGGAAGGACAGCTTCTCCCATGTGGCTCGCAGCTGCTCCAGCTTATAAAGCAGTCGCTAGTCCTTCAAAAGTCAGACACTTCAACAGGATCGCCCATTATTTCTCAGCAAATGCAGAGAGAACTCACACAGATCAAATGTCAGCATAGCAGCAGCCTCTTTTATGTGAAAAACATGGAAGTGAATAGATCGTGAGCACTTTCTCGGTGCTGTTGGCCGTGCGCACAGTGCAGAGGCTGAGAGCATCACAGCCCAGTCTTCTTATCTGCATCACAGGGATAAACCAATCACATAAAGCACGCAGGGGAATACTGCATACGGCAAGTACCCAGTTAATGTTAGCAGCTGTCACTAAAACATGGGCTCCCTGGGACCTGCCATTTTCTTTTAGGATAAAGCTTCAGCTCTCGAGAAAACCCTATAATCTGGGGCTGTATCTGAATCTGGTATGAGACGAGTCCTGCCCGGTGTCTTGAATAGCAAGCAGCAGGAGTGTGTAGGGCTCACTCACTGGGGCCCCCGCACCACGACAGGTCAACACAATCCCGCTGCCCCACGAACCTCATTTTAGCACTGGCCGCGGACCAGTGTGCGCTCCAGTCGGTGGGAGGATAACCATGCTGGGTGTCCCCGTCATATCAGCCTCGGGACAGTAAGGACGTCACAGGTAAGTCACGTTTCTTGGCTCAGAGCCGCCAGCCAGGTCAGTTCCTGGGACACCGCTCTCCCACGTCTCGCTTGCAGTGGGCCCTGCTGGCCAATACCCCCGGGCGCCCCTGGGTCTGCTGGTGGCCCTGCCTCCTCCGCGCATCCCGGCTCCCAGACTGACGCTCCCCAGCCCCGCGCTCACACCGCCACCCCCACCGGCATCGGGGCCTGCAGACACTTTAAAACAGAGTAGAAAGTAAAAGCTCTCCAGTTCCAGACTGAGGAACTGGTGCCTCGCTGAGCACCACACCTCAGGGGGATGGCTTGGATGGCAGCGCAGAGGACGGGAACCACAGGAAGCCACGTCCATGCCCGGCGAGCCCAGCTCAGGTGAGGAGAAGAAAATCGGGGAAAGATACGGGAGAAACTTAAACCTGCCTGGTGAGCGGGCAGGCTGGAGGGGAGGCGGAATAGGGACACAGCAACCGAGGGCCATAGTCCATGAGTTGGTGTAATGTTGACACCAGTTAAGGAGAGGCAGGAATAAAAAAAAATTGTTTTTAAAAGGCTGAGAAGGAAAAGCACTAATGATCACCAAATCGTATCCCTCAGACATAAAAGTGAGTGAGCACAATTCTTCCTGGTGACTAAGAAGCTGACAAGCACGTGGAGCGCACAGAGCCGAGGACCCGGGGATGCTTCACAATAATCATAAAGGCAAATACATACCAATGATTTTTATGTGTCAAGCGCTGCTGTGAGAACTTTCATCTATTAAAATTTTTAGTCCTCACCATGATTTGATGCCCTTGGGTATTACTCCTATGCCATTTACAAAGTTACAGCGTTTATGATTCCAGGAGGAAATGGAACAGAGCAGTCAAAGAAAAAAAGAGCAATTGCTAAAGGCTCAGAGACTCCCAGCTGACTGTTTGCAAAGCTCCCCTGGAGTTTCCCAGCGTCCACCAATCCCGGAGCCCAGGCTTCCCAGGTGCTCTCATCAGCATCACCCGCTGGCGGCCGTTACTGCAAGTTAAAGAGCGACACTTCAGGAGCTCTGCTGCCAGGTCATAAAGCAGCAAGGAGAGGACTGGCATTCGCCGGTGACATCGGCAGATTTATGGTTTGAATTTACACCCATCAGACATGGGACACATTTTTAGCCACGCACATCAAGCTTATTGCTCCCCAAACCTTGAGTCTCGCTGCCCACACCACTGGACTCGATTCCCCTCGCCAGCAATAGCCTCCCCGTGCAGCTGCCTTGGCAGGTGAGCTTTGATGTGAGCTTGTGAAGCAGAGGTGTGGAAAGGAGCCCCCCAAGAGAACCAGGTGATGTGGGAAAACGCCACTGAGCCCCACTTCCACGTGGAGTCTCTTCCAAAGGTCAGTCTCAGCAGTCAAGCACCTGGATAGTCTTTCTTTTGCTGGTCTCTGAGACTGTCACCCTCTTGCCAAATAATGTTTAGGACAGTAACTGTAGACCCCCTTAAGGTCAACCTTTCTCCCCTGTCATCTTTTTTTTTTTTTGACATTCTATACCAGTCTAGAGGGAAAATAAGATATCAACACACAGAAAAGGTTAAAATGTGTCCCCAGTTAACTGCACTGTCTGCCTATAAGATGATACCACACAGTTGTGCTTTGTTCTGAACAGAACTTGTCTGGCTACCAAAGGTGAGAAAGAGGAACACAGTGCAAGGGCATTATGGGAAAATCCATTCTGCCTCGTTCTCCCATCTCCTGGGAACCCTCCCAAATTCTCCTGAACTGCGACAAACCCTAGCCCTTTGGGATGGAGAACCACCTGCTCAGAGGCCATCAATGGCCCCACAAGGGCAGCTGGAGGTACGTTGAGGAAACCAAGCCCCAGTGTTTGTGCTTTGGGTCCCGATGCCTGGGTCACATCACATAATAAGATGCCCACTCCCTCCCACTGCACTGGGGCAGGGTGGAGCTTAGGGCTCACCCTGGAAATGTGATCACATGTTTCTAGCTAGCAAGTCCATAAAATGCAAGCAAGTTGCACATAAAGGCAGTTTGAAAAACCGCACCAAAATATCTCTTCCCAGAAGATATACATGACTGGAAAAACCTGGACCAAAAGTCATTGGGTCTAACCTGACCACTTACTGTGTGACCTTGGGCCAGCTTCTTAACTTCTCTGTATCCATTTCCCAGAGCAAAAATGAGCTTATGTAAATAACAGTGTTCTGTGCACTTAAGCATCAGGCAAATTAAAAGCATTTATAGAAGAAACACCAGTTAAAGGACCAGGTCATTAGCCCCTGTCTCTGTGCTCCAAGTGCTGCGTATCACCGCAGGCCCCTGGGACGCTGCCCAGTCACTAAGCGTCTCTGCCTTTCCATTCACTTGCCCCCACGTAGAAGCTGCCATGCCTTGGACCAAACCACAGGAGCACCTGATGCTGCCCGCATTTCCAGGCACACAGACACATGTGACTTTCGAAGGGAGGGAAGGAGAATGACCACTTTGTGGATAAAGCCATTCACAACGTGCGCTTGTGGTAAGCTTGACTGCTGAGACTGACTCCTGCAACCCCAGGCGTCCCTAAGCAACAGCCTGCAAGCTCGCTTCATCTGCAAGCTCACGCTCATTCCATTCACATCACATAATAAGAGTAAAATTCCTCACAAGCACTTCTCTGGAGAAAACGATGGTCAAGCTGTCCTTGATCTGGCTGTGAGTTCCAGCCGCTGTTGTTGCCTCAGTTAGAGGTACTTTCGGGGGAAGAACACAGTTCTTACAGAGGCACTGAAAACACGCATCTGTGCGCAGACTGTCCAACCCCTCTGGGCATCCAACCCCTTGGCCCAGAAGGGCAGCGGCCTGAGGGCAGGTGGGCACAGGGGAGGGGACAGGTGCCTCTCACCCCATGGCAGAATAGCTGCCACCCAGAGGCCTACACCAAACCTTCTAGAAAGGGGGCTGGGAAGCAGGAAGCCCCCCAGCAGTATGGAGGCGCTTCCGCTGTCCACGGGCAAAGCAGAGGGCAGGGCGCTGGCCAGCACCAGGCTGAGGGGCAGTCTGCAGCAGGGGGAGATAAACACTTTGATACTGGGGCTGAACCTGTCGCACTTTAATCCCTTAATCTCCGATGAGAACCCTTCATGAAGGTTTTCGGATATCCAAGCAGCATCAGACTGGATCAGCTAACTTCTATAGCAGTGTGCAAACAGACTTGGAGAAAGGAAGCCCCGGGAGGAAGGAGGCCAGATAGGAGGCTGGGGAAGAGTTCTGCAGGCTAATAGGGCTGGAGCCACAGGAAGGGCAGGGGCACAGGCCGGGGCATTATTTGGATCCTGAGCTGCTAACCAGAACCTGCAGAAACAGACTGACAGTACCCAGCCCACCACCTGGACCCCTCACCGGAGGACCTCCGGGTCCCAAGAGCTGGTCCAGGACACGCCACTTTCCGTGTTTTATTCACATGTCATCACTTATCTTCTAAAAAGTTAAAACACAATTCACAACAGTTTTAATGAAACCATAATACGTGCTAGTGAAAAGTACAGAACTTAATTACTGTTCCCAGTGACTGTCTCCATCAATAGGTGTCTTGAAATGAAAAGTGGGTGATTTGTAAATAAACCTCTTGAACGAACAGAAATTTGTAATGGTTAAGTATTAACAATATTAATACTAATTGACAATGATTTAATTAATAAAAAAGTTTTAATGTGCATACAGGTTGAGCTACAAGGCTGTGCATAGTACACTGCTTTCTAATTTCAAAATTTGCAAGCACATTACTTGTCTAAACAGAAAGGATTTGTTGAACAAATTGTATCCATACGGTAGAATACTTTTTAAGAATTAAAAGTCATGTCACAGACATGTATTTTATTTAAATGTAAAATACTCTATTGTATTGAAGAAAAATTAAATCACAAAGCAGCATGCAGCCTACATGCCCAGTGTTGCTTGAAAGGAGAGGATGCGCGTAGGAAAAACGTCTAGAAGGACAGACACCGAAATGCCGAGAAGGGTGCCAGTAAGCACTGGACTGCGAGTGATTTCCTGTCTGCTCCTCAGCAGTTGCTGCTGTGGTTTTTGCAGACAGATACGCATCCCACTGTACTGGCAGCCCTCTTCTTGAAGACACGCATGTGCTGTTACCAACATGACTGTAAGATCCCAGGAACAAGGCGATGAGCCCTTGAACCACAAGTGGGACCCGGGGATCGGCCCAGTTAGAGAATCCGGGTCCTGAAAGGAACCGAGTAATGTCACACGTGTGGCAAATGCCCAAGAGCACAAGCTCTGGGTCTCTGCTTGGCCTCCCGCCGTGCTAGCCAAGTTCCTTTACGTCTTTGTTTAATCCCACCCGTAATGGATGAGAAATGGATGGAAAGGGTGCTGCCCCCCCACCGCGCCGCCGCAGACCGAGGTGGTTCAGTGTGTGCCAGGTTTCTCCACTTCCAGTGAAGCCTGGCATATCATAGGCTTTCTACGTGCTTATTTCCTTTTAATGATTCCTAAGATGAGCAGGTGAAAAAAAATCACGTTATCCCCCCACCCCTGGGGCCGAGTCCGCTGGGTAGAGAAGGTTCGCGCTGTGCTCTTCTCAGACGCAGTTCATCATCTTAATTTCTTTCAAAAACCAATTCACTTCCTTCCCTCCTCCGCATAAAAGCTCTTTGGGAAGTTTTGCTTTATTGCTAATGGTTTTCTTTATATCTGGATGATCAATTCAACTGAGATTAATTGAGCATGAAGCTGGCAACATCTGTGAAGCCATTTATCAGGAGAAAGCGCCGGAGCCCACCGGAGCCCACCAGCTGTCATTGCCTGCACTGCGGCCCCAGCAGCCCCGGGCACACCTGAGCCTCAGGTGGCCGGCGACGCTCTCACGGATGGTGCAAGTGAGCTCGGGGGGAGCCCTCCAGTTCTCCCTGCCCCTGGCAGAGGCTGCAGGCTGGCAGGTAATCCTACGGACCCAAAACTCTGCCTTTATTCCGGGGTCCTACCAGCATCGGGCTGCAGCAGCTTACTGAACACAGTGTAAGTTAGAGCAGATGGCACCTGGGTCCTGTCCAGCAGGTTGCATCAGTGAAGTGCCCAGAGCACGCCTTCCCAGGAAGCACCAAGCAGCACAGGCCCCACGACAGCCCAGGGCAAGTCCAGCGGTGAGATACCCTCTCTGCCTTTACGTGCCAGAAGCACAGGCTGCCTTGCTTACAAATAACCACGTATGATGTGGGTATGTGAGCAACTGACATGGAGATGATAAAAATGATTGACATTTCTAGGACTTCTGTGCCAGGTGATCTTGTAAGCACTTCGCAGCTACTACCTTATTCAATCCTCTCAGCCCATGAAGTATGGATTCTGTTTTTTCCCTGTTTCACGGATGAGGGGACCATGCACAGCGAGGTTAAGTAGCCCACCCATAGTTACGCAGCAAGTCAGTCGGAAAGCTGAGATTCCAACTCAGTGCATCCGACTCAGCACATAGTCCACGCGCCACCTGCACTCTCTGTTCCACTGCATCACACATGTGCATGTGTGTACGCTTCATACACTCACATAGCTAAATGTTTTTTCAGTCTCTATACAAACCCAAGGGTGCAGGAAGTTCTACAGCTGGCTGACATCAGCTTTTCGAAGCTCCGAAGTCAAGTTTGTGCCTAATCACTCACACAGCCCCGGTCGTAGGCAGAGAGGGGCAAAGAGATGCTCTCCCACCCACGGCTTGCTCGTCCTCCCCCCGACACGATGGGTATTTATTCCATCCGTGTGTGTGTTCACTGCTCAGCATCCACAACTACACGTCACAGACACTGTACTCCACAGCAGGGGTTAATTTTTTGTGTCTCTTTGGCTGGGTCCAGTGCCCAGATATTTAATCAAAAACTATTCTGGATGTTTCTGTGACAGTGTTTGCATGAGACACAATTTAAATCGGTGGTCTCTGAGTCGGGTACATTGCCCTCCACAATGTGGGCGGGCCCCCCGGGCCAGCTGAACACCCGAACAGAGCGGAAGACCAGCCTGCCCTGAGCAGGACACAGCTGTGCCAGCAGACGGATGGACCTGAGCCGCTGCATCGGCCCTTCCTGGGTGTCTGAATTCACTGCGGCTGTTACAACAAAATACCACAGGCTGGCTGGCTTGTGAACAACAGATATGTATTTCTCACAGTCCAGAGGCTGGAAGTCCGAGATCAGGGGCCAGCACGGTCAAGTGAGGGCCCTCTTCTAGGTTGCAGACCTCGCCGTGTCCTCACAGGACAGAGGGAGCTGATGGAGCGATAGCAGGCCTCGCTCACAAGGGCACTGACCCCATTCAGGAGGGCTCCACCCTCATGGCCCGATCACCTCCCAAAGGCCCCCCCTCCTGCGCCATCCCACCAGGCATTAGCGTTTCAACAGGTGCATCTGGGGCCAGTGGGGCCAGGGCAGTGGGGAGTGAACAGCCTGCCAGCCCTCCCTGTGTGTTCTGGGCTTGCCAGGCTCCACAGCTGCATGCGCCGGTCCTTAGGGGTACCCCCTCCTGTCTGGGTGCACAGCCTGCTGGTGCTGCCCCCGAGGACACTGACCCCCCCTCACCCACTCAGGTGCACGCAGAGCACACGGAGACCCCTCGCTATCACTGGCAGGAGAGGGAGGAGCCGACCCTTCAACTCTTTACAGAAGCTAAGATCTAAGAGTCGCTTACTCCAGCACAGGGCACTGCCCTTAGTATAGATCCCGCCCTCGAGGAAAACACCTTTCCGACCTGGGACCAAATATACAGGCAGGACAGAAATGGGGCTCCAGTCCCAGCACCTAAAGGGGCAGGCAGGTGGAGCACCAGGCCCCAGGCAAGGAGGAAAGCCAGCCTGTGGCCCAGATCCTGTCGCTGGCCTCTTAAACTCTGAGTCACAGAATTCACAAAGGGAGGGAGATTCCGTCCCTCCACCGCGGCATTTTTTTCCTAAGCAAAAAAACAGCAATGACCAAAGGAAATCCTTTGTGGGAGACTTCCTGCCATTCCACAGCTACCATTGAGAAAAACCTCAGGGGCCGGGCCACCTCTCCCTGCAAAAGACGGCATCCAACTCAAAAAGGCAATCATTTTGCTTCCTGTCGGAGCTGTTTTGCAAGTAGCCATGGTGCCGTCACCAAGACAAGCTTCCTAAGTGGAGGACAGGTCATAAGCAGGGTGCCCACCTAAATGTCTTTGACTCAAGGACTGTTTTCTGTGCTAACTCCCCACAAAGTGAACCTGTCACCCAGTGGGACACTGACGCTGCAGCCAGTCGTTGCTCTAAGAAAAGTGCACAGAGGCCCCTGGTATTTTATAACCCCTCTCACCTTCCGGCCTTGGAATTCACATCAGGGACAAACTTGAAAACCAGCCTTCAGCACAACAGTGCTAAACTAACCAGGAGTCTGTTTCCCTGTTGACTTCATTTGGGAAACGTTATAATGTGTCAATCGGAAACCTCTGAGCAATGGCCTAGGATGTAACCGACATAGTATGAGACACCTGGACCTCTGCCTGTAAGTCATCAACCATTGTGTTAGGACGCAAAGTGCTCCAAGCCTTGCTTCCTGACCACCAAAAAATTCATTAAGTTTGTAACAGAGTCTGGGGGTGGCTGCCCTCTTCTCTCCACGGGACTACCAAGTACCACGGTCCTCTGTGTGCCTTAAAAAAATTCTCACTTTCTATGAATTGTATTCAGAATGTAATTCCAGATTATGCCTGCAAATCACTTTGTTTAAATGTTGTATGGAATCTGAAGTCATAAATATACATGTTTTTCTCAATAATCACTAACTGAAAAACATTCTTTAAATGATACATACACTCTGTGAAGTTGGGTTTTAATAATTCAAGAGGCATTCTGCTAAGAGTTCCCTGGGGAGACACTGTGGAGGCCACGGCTATCATTTACTTATTATATTTATTAGTGGCCCCCCTCACTGAACTGTGAGCCCCCCAAGAGCAAGGATTTATTTCCGTCTTGCTGATAGGTCCCCAGTGCCCAGAAAGGGCCTGCCTGGCTCACAGGAGGTGTGCGGTACACGCTGGATGAGTGAGTGAGCATCAATCAGAGAGACCAGACGGGTCACTGAAATCCTCATCGTTTATGGGGATGAACTTGGAGAAAAGCCCTGGGCCAGGAGTCAGGAGGCCTGAGTTTTGAGTCCTGGCCTGGCCACTCAGTCACCTATCCACCCACAGCCTACCTTCTCTGGGCACTGGGTCATCAGCCCGTCCCCATCCACCTCCCAGGCCCACGGATGCCAGTGGGAACAGGCCCATCGGACCCTCACGGAGGAAACAAAGGCAGCCGCCCTCCATACTGGGTTCCCAGCCGGCGTGCCCCCGGCCACTGTCCCAGAAGCCCTCTTCAGCAAGGACAACCTGGGGTCACGGAAAGCAACGGGGGGCTGCCCATGGCCTCTGGTGCCAGGAAAAGGGCCTAGAAGAGTAAAGAGAATGAGTCCTCCCTCCATTCAAAATAGAGGTGGGCACTGGCGGAGGCCACCACCGTCCCCCCACGGACAGGCTACTGCCCTGAAGCAGTCACACGAAGACAGGCACGCGTCAGCGTGTTCCTAAGGGTGCTGGGCTGGCCGTTTTGGGGCCGTTACTGAGTTTGATTTTTCAAAGAGCCCTGAGATAAGTCCTATGGGTGCTGATGAAACACTGAGACTTCGAGAGTTTAAGCAGCTTGCTGGGGGGCACACAGCCAGGACACGAGGAGGGGCACGGAGCACACAGGGCCACACATCTGATGGGGGTCCGGGCTTGCCCTCGGGTGGGGCAGCCTTCCACCCCTTAAACGCT